CCCCCGCACTCCCAAGCGGCGCACTCTCCAGTGCACCACCGGGCCGGCCCATTTTCTTTTCTTTTCTAAGTCGTCTTGTAGTTGTTTGATACGGTCTCGAACTATCCCGGATTTGTTGGCATAGAAGCAGCATCTTTCCTTTGTTCACCAATTGGCAAGTGAGTCCAGGATCTCCAAAGCCGGACTGGACCTTGGGCAGCTGACCAGACAAACCAACAATCAGGAAGAAAATGCTGGTTGCCATGACCCCTGTGGAAAAGAAAAGAAAAAGACATGCTCAGGGATCTACCGAGTCCCTGGCTGAGAGGTTATGATCAACTTGTTTAACCAGCTGTTCTGGCAGCCATCTGCCCAAGTTATGAGTGCAAGAAAAAACACAGACTGAACCTCTACCCCAGATCAAAACTGGATCTGGACCATTCCAGGCGTTATCTAGGGGGTCGAGTTTCAACTCGTCCCTGGCCTTAGGCAAGGCTATAGGGTGATATTGTAAAGGGGGGAACAAAGTTGACTGCCCCACAAACTTGTTTTGGGACCTGGGGCTGGCCCCTCTTCCCGTTTCCCTGAAGGGGTGGCAAGGAATTTCCCTAAACATCAGTTTTGGATCTACATTCATTTACCCAATGTTTTCCTCTTTTACATCGTGGGCAAAGTCCAGGAGGCTTGGTGACTATGGCTTTTCTCTGGTATTCCTGACAGTTTTTAGTAAAATGACCAGGCTTGCCAGATTTAAAGCACCCTTTATTATTTTGGCCTTTATTAGCTAAAAAATCCTTTTCCGTTTGTCCACTGAGGGCTGTGGCCATGGCTAGACCTTGTTGATAAGAGGAGCCAATGTCCGAGCAAAGACGAATATATCCTTGAAGGTCAGTTTTATTTTTGCGGGGCCTAATGGCCGCCTGGCATGCGGGATTAGCATTTTCAAAAGCCACTTGTTTTATACAATCAAGATTGGCATCTGCCTTGCCTAACAACCTATCTGCTGTTGTCATTAGCCAGTTAACAAAATCTGAAAAAGGCTCTTCAGGCCCTTGTTTTACTCCCGTAAGTGAAGTGCTTGAATCCTCCTTAGCTGGGAGCCTTCTCCAAGCCTTTGAAGCGGCTGTTTGAATTTGGGAAAATAGACCTGGGTCATAGTTTCTGAAACTTCTGGGGATTTTTCCCTATCCTGAATCATGTCCCTGATTAAATTCCAATAGGAGAAGGCAGTAACGGGGACCTTTTCCGGCCCAAAAGTCTCATAGAAATCTTATAAAGCGTCTCCAACTTGAGACCACCTTTTATAATTATTTTTTTTTTTAATTATTTTTTTTAAAGATGACCGGTAAGGGGATCTTAACCCTTGACTTGGTGTTGTCAGCACCACACTCACCCAGTGAGCTGACCGGCCATCCCTATATGGGATCCGAACCCATGGCCTTGGTGTTATAAGCACCGCACTCTCCCGAGTGAGCCACGGGCCGGCCCCACCTTTTATAATTAATAGTCCCTTCTTCTGAGGAACCAAGGACAAAGATTCTTCACGAAATCAAAAAATCTTAATAGGTCACTTGTTTTAACCTTTACTCCTCGCGTCTTTAAAGCTTTTTGTAACTGTCTTATGTAGACGTCATGACAACTTAATTCTTAATTCTTAATTCTTGTCCCATTATTGGGCGCGCTTACCTTATCCTGACGCAGCAGGTTCCCATGGCGGATGAAGGTTTTACTCTTTCATTTTCAGTGGTCGACCCTCCGATGCGCCATCTTCCTCACGGTGTCTCCCATATCCAGTGCCACACGTTTGGGTGCCAAAAATGTCCCAACCCGCGGGATATTCAACGCAGACCCTGGAGGGGGGAGTGGAAATTGGATGGGACAAGAGACGTGAGAAATGGAGACAAGAGAGTATTCTGATCAAGTCTCGTTTATTAGCCAGAAGGTCACAGTTTATATAGACAGCAGGAGGGAATCAGCAGATAAGGAAGTGAGCAGCAGATGGTTTACTGAGAAAACC